CTTGTTACTGGATTTCCTTTCTTCACATCTATGTTGTGTCTCAGGTCAGGTTTCTGGCTAGTCTGTGGTCTAAACCCAACCGGTTAGGCTGCCCAGCTCTGATTGGCCGTGATCCTTGATGGGTTTACCAATGACATTCCCTCCTCCTACTCTCCAAGCAGCTTATTTTGTACCTGTTTTAGGCATTTTTATCAGGCTTTCTTTTCTGTTCTTGTGGTGGTATTTTTTTTTGGACACTGCCCTGGCAGTGATAATGTCTTCCCAAATTGATACTGCCTTGCAGCCACCAAAAGATCTGCTTGGAGATTACCCTCTTTCCACCCTCAACTTGTACTTTCCCTTACCAGTAGCCTGACCTGTGAGACTGCATCAACTGTGCTCTTCAGACGAGTCCATGGGCTTGTGTGAATGCAGTGTGGCTGTTTTCATCCTAGATGTATCAGGCAAATCTTTCCGTGTACTGAAAATCAGTTTAGACATGTATTAAGCATTTGAGATGCTTCATAGGTTAAAGAAGCTTGCGAACAAGTCAATTGTGGATGGTTTGATTAACTTGTGTGTGCCCGGGATTGAAAAAAATTAACCTCCAAGTCCCACTGGTTTCCTATGATAGCCAAATTTCCCATGTTAAGGGGCCATACCTGGTAATATGAGCCTATTGTGACTTGGTTTTAAGCCACCAAGAAAGGATGTGTAGTAGTTACTCCAATAACAGCATGTTGATTTTTGTGCAATCATTGCAATCAAAATCTCCATCCATTCTCTTGAATTAAGCCGTACAATGCATGTAAAAATATGATAGATCAGAAATATCACTTGGAGTGAAAAGCGTTGCCAACGTAGCACTGATTCTTCCCTGCCTATACCATCTGTCATCTCTATGGCAGAATAACAATTTTTAGGATTTGCAGTTGGAAAGGCAGCTGCTAGGGGGATTGCGCTATCTCACACAGGTTAAGAAGTTTTACAGTCACGCTGAATCTTCCCCAAATCAAATCGCTTGTTCTTAAATAAATCCTTACTCAAAGATCATGATTTGTACAAGTTAGTACTTAAAAATTAGGAAAACTTGAAAGTACTTTGCTTTGAGATTTAACAAAAATATATTAGTATAGTCCTCATACAAAGGTAGCAATTTACCGCTAAAAAGACAATGGACTTATTATTACATGTAATATATTAACTAAAAGATAATTTGATGAAGGTTAGACATACTGGTAATACAATACGCCAAAAAACAGTTACTCAAGCAACTGGATATGATATTGGAAACGGTCATTTCCAAAATCATATCTAGACCGTTTCCAAAATCATATCCAGTTGCTTGAGTAACTGTTTTTTGGCGTAAAAGATAATTTGTTCAGGTGCAGTACATATTTTTTTGTACGTACATGGCTCTTTCTCTATACACAAAACATGACCGTATTGGTTTTTTTTTTTTTGTTACCTGTTGTAGGGTTTGGACGGTCTCTCTCTGCCCGAGATCCCATGTTCATGGGCATGAACGGTGACCAGAGCTACTCCGCTGGACAGGTGGGAGCCAATGTGGAACAACAGGTGAGATCCCATGACAGGTGTTCATTGACATGTCGAAATAAGGCCACACCAAATTAATTTGTTGGTTCTTGGATTCGCCTCTATGTTTTTTTTTCTGATTTCCAAAAAAAAGAAAGATTCTGGTTCTGAAGCAACTCAAACATATTTTGCCCCCAACAGTTTCTTCCTAGTTGTTACAGTTTTTTCCATCTATCGATGCAATGGTTTGATTAAAAGTTCGAAATTCATTGTTTAAATAGTAACCCAGCCTTTTGTGTTGACTTCATGGCTCCTATTGTAGCATTTGGGGCTATGAAAGGATGCCTAGACCTTTTTTTTTTCGCCCGTCACTTCATGTTTGTTATGAAAAAATTTTGAATTGAATATTGTAAAATGCCTGTATTTTACATCTCTACATTTCTGCTGTCTCCAGGCCCAGGCCCTGAGACATGTGATCACCCAGACACGAGGGTACAACACTGAGGACAACACTCCCATCTCCCAGTCCCTGCCCTCATACTACCCACCCTCTACAGGCAATAACCACTCAACTATGCCAGACATGGTATGGGAACGGCTCCTTTGGCTATTTCTAAACCTTTTATTCTCCTAGTGCAGAGTACCTAAACCCACTTTTAGGTTCAGGTCCAAATTCAAGTCCAGAGGTTTAGGTTCAGTTCCAGACTTGTAAGTCCGAACCTACATGTATACCCATGACATATACAAAATTGCATGTTGGCAACCTTGCAATGTTGTGTTGGCAAAACTGTGGCCACATAACATTCAGGCCGACACTTGATGATGCCCGATGCCAATGTTTCCTTCATTTTGCAGCATAGATTTTGCAATCCATGGAAGATTTAAGGTTCTTTGGAATGGAAAGGGGTATTTCACATGTTTTTTTTTTTTGTAATAAGTCCAGAACTGGTTCTTGCATTTTAGGTTAGGCCTATATTATCGAGTCTGTACTCCTTTCAGAACCCACCGGCTGAAACAGAAGGGCAGGGCAGCAGCCCCCCTCCCCAGGAGAGTGCCACGCCCAGTAACCATGGCAACAGCAGCACCACTAACCCTGCAGGGGGTAACGAGTGGTCAGGTGACCAGGCCCCGCCCTCGCTGGAGTTCCCTGCCATCCAGGTCACTGCCGCTGTTGTCCAATCACAGTGCAGTGCATGTGCTGTCTAGATAAGCATGCCGGCAGAACGTACTGCGCCTGCACAAAACCCTGATCTTTCACAGTTTTTGTTGGTTGTTTGGTCACCGTTGCATCAGAATTTTGCCTGTTGCAGAGGACATCTTTTCCAACACAACATTTGGAAACTACAGATGGGATATTATATATGCAAATACGACCTTATATGAGGTGTTCTGTCAAAGTGCTATGCACAATGCATCACAGGTTTTGCGCAGGTGCAGTATGTTCTGGCAATGTGTTATCTAGATACAAGCTGGGCAGACCCTTAACATGCCATTTCACACTTTTCTTTTTCAGTGCTTGCAGTCACGTGTCTTGTAACAATTTTCATCAGTTCCCTCCTCACCTAGGACCCGCTCAGCCTGTGCCAGTGTGTTAAGATTTCACCTAATTCTTTTTTGTTGTTTAACAGGCTGTTGATGTTTTGCTTTGAGCAGTGCATGTTGATCACCATGCAGCTGTATTTAAACATGCTCACTGCTTTACACTGTAGGCCTTGGTAAGAGTTTGGACCCTCATCTTTCAGCACATCACATGCTGCAAGCTGCCGCCATCTTTACGTTTGCTTCAACACATTTTGGCTTGTTTTTGTTCAAATATGTAGTGAAAAGGTCATTGACCGAGAGTCTGGTGTCATGCATTTTATTCATCCTTACTTGAGCTTGTACACCATCAATTATTTCATGCTACATTTGTTTTCTTTAGCCAAGGAGGTTAAAAAGATCTGACAGGTGCTATAGCATTTAACAGTTTCCATGTAACTGTGTAGTGCTTGTAGTAAATGTTAGCTACAGAGGTGGACAAAGCCATCTCCATGTACATGTATAAAGACATTGTGAAAGCTTATGGCAATGTGATGATATAATTGTTGTCCAGTAGATATAAAAAGTAACTAGAAAGGTAACATTTGCAAAGCAAATGTATAATGTTTACCTCTGCATATCGTCTTACTTAAACACATTCATATATATGGTCAGACAGGAGTCTAAATCCCTCCTGCTATAAAATTGCAACATGATGTAACCCAACACTAGTTACCATGGTGACAGACGTCTGGTTCAGGTTTGGTAAACATAATTTCTAAAAGTCACCTTATTTTTTTTTCCTAATAGGGAATGAATGGCAGTGATGAAGACGATGATGATGATCAAGATGGAGAAGGATCCCAGAAAGGGCCAACCAATGGCAGCTCTTGATCTTCAGCCTCTTGTATCATGTTCAAGTTAGAACAATAAACGCCCACTGTAGGTGTATGTAGTACACTGGGGTTTGGACATTTAAGCTGTCTCTCACACTTGTAGTTGGATATGCAGGGTTCAACATGTCCAGTGACCTTATGTTGGCACAAGCATTGCATGACATGCAATTGTTTTGGGTGAAAAGTCCTCAAAAAGTTGATGGGATCCTAGTAAAGGTATTTTCCCCATGTAAGTCAAAATATCATATATTCAACATTGGCATGTAGAATGATACCAGCAAAAATTGTATACAGAGATCTCAAAGATGGCATTAATCAGAATGCACATCAAACACGTTCCTCCGTTTAAAGTTTGAGAATCTTTGCAGTTCAAAGAATGAATCTGCCCAAATTAGAGGTCAAATCTTGAATCTGAGTATGAAATAAAAAAACGAAGCATACTGCACTGAGAGGCAGTAACAATGACTTCCTAGATAGGACTGAAAACATAGGACTGAAAACATGGACTCCGAGACTTTCAGCTGTGAAAGCACAGAAAGCCACTCTGATGTGTGTGAACCCTGTTGATCTTGACTGTTCCTCTGTAACTGTGACAAGTGTTGAGGGGCATAGATGGAGCTGTTGGTGTCGCCACTGCCAGTTAGGAAAGGGACCAAGAGTGTGATGTAACGATAGCCGGGATAAGGACAACACATTTTAAAGTCTTAAGAAGGCAATCTGTAGATAGTACCACCTCACACTGGTGAAAGTGCTGTATGAATCGCTGTGCTTCACAATTACTGTACAACAGACATCCTACAAAACCAGCGTATCATTTTCACTATGAAATTGATCATTGCACATTTAAAACCTGTATGGGTTCCCACAGTAAAATACCAGTAAAACTGTTAGAAAATCCCATAGACATCTTTGATACCAGGGAGTTGTCACAAATTTGAGCAGGGAACAAAAAATGTTGGGTAAAACTGTGGACTGATGAATGGTGATGTGTCATGTGACCTGTTGTGACCTATGACCTGTTGTGCGTATGTGAGTTGTTACTTATGATGCAGTGTCAGGCATTAGTAATTGCTGTTTGCAGTTTCACATAGACAAGCTGATTCTCATATCAACACTTTTGAGACTTCATGAAAAATGCCTCCACTCCTTAGGGGTTGCCAAAAAAAGAGGCTGTCCAACATGCATGGCAATAACCAAAATAATCCTGATTCCCCAAACTTTCATGCCAGGTTTTGCAGAAAGTCATTGAAGCTTAAAGAAGCTATCAATAATGTCTACAATGAGACTTGGAATTACTTCCATTTCAAATCATTTGGTAAATGCCCACATGAAGATTACTTAATTACAGCTGTTGTACTTTTGCCCCGTTATATAGAATGATAAGGTAGGGATTAATTAAGAAGACATGATTTTGTAAACAAAACATTGGTAAATAACGAAAACCTGTCGATCATGTAAAATAACTGTCACCTTGTCAGCTAAATTTAACCATTAATGAATCTCGATGATTTTATTTCGCTGTGCTCACAAAGTGGGTGCAGCCAAAATTATGTACAAGAAATCTTTTAACCTAATGTTAAGTAAGTGTTGTATAGATAATTATGTAGTTAGGTAGACTCTCTAACCACGTAGTGTAGACCATGTGCTCCCAGAGCGTAGGAACAAACTAGGAATATATAAACTGTGCTCAATGTTTTACACGTAGGTCCATTTCTGTTTTTTAAATGCTTAATTTCTGTATATATGGTAGCAACAAATCAGAGAAAACCTATTGTCTTTGAGACAATGAAGCATTTCCCTCAGCCTAAAGCCAGGAGCTGGCTCTTGAACATTACTGGTAAAAGCATTTTGCACAGTAACCATTGATGAATACAAAGCTCTCACAGACTCTAGTACAAACTAGCAAGGTTAACCTTCCTTCTGTGGGTCCCTGAATCATATTAGTTACTGCAGCAGTTGGTACATATACCTGTAGAGAGTTATCTGAAAGTTGTTGCTACCACATGTACATTTTTTTTAAAATCTACATACAAGAATGGGTGTTCCCATCACAATATTACATATAATGTACAAAATGAATATCAGTAGATTGTGTAGTCCAAAGAAACCCCCTTTTCCCATGGAAACAAGGGTGGTTTCTTCTTGTATGGTTGTCTGAAGTTCACCTGAGTGTGTGTGTGAAAATGCCTGTCTTGTCAATGGACACAGCTATGAAACATGCAATGTTATTTCACTTGAAGTGCACTCATGATTTACAGAAGCAAATGCACAGTTTTTTGTTATGACTTAACAGTGAATAGTGACCAGAGCTTCGCTTGTGCCAAAGTTGAGTAAGCTAACCATATAAAAGCCTACATGTAATCTCCATTTAAACTGTTGAAAGTGACAGACAAACTGGCCTGAAAAAACATGGTTTAACCACAGTAGTAAAGTTATCCACGTTAGGCATTCTTTTAAAAAAGACGAAATGTTTTGACACACAAACTTAACTTTGTGATGCTAGGACTCAACACACTACAATATTTGGTCTATTGTGTTTATTTGGACAGTCAGACCTTTTTTCAGTCACTTTGTCCTTCTCTAAGATGATTTTTGGAAAGATTATTTCATATCATCAAGAGTTATGTCAATTTACACGTTTATTTTTTACAAACACATGAAGACCCTGCTAGGTAAAACGTGTTATGTTTGCTAAGTGTGATACACATGCATGTTCAACCTTTGCTGTGGTCTGTACTGTTTTCATGTATGAATGGTGCAACCAGGAATACGTTCCTGTCAATATATCAAAAGCAATGTACAACTTCAGCAGTGAATCTAGTTGGAAATCACTACCATGGTTTGTCACTGAGAGATGTTCCTTGTATGGGTTTACAATGTAACATGTACATGTATGTAGACTGTTACACCCGTCTGTTCTGGCACCCCTATGTAGAGACATAGTTAGGGATGTCGGAACATGGGCTTCCCCAGCACGTCGGCAGAATGTACTGCACCTGCGCGAAACCCATAATGTTTTGTGCATAACACTTCGGCAGAACGTCTCATATAAGGTCGTATTCGCGCACGCATATAAGGTTAACACTCTGTAGTTTCCAAATGTTATGTTGGAAAAAATATCTTCTGCAACAGGCAAAATTCTGATGCAACGTTGACCAAAAATCCAATGAAAACCGTGGAAAATGGGGGTTTTGCGCAGGTGCAGTACGTACGTTCTGCCGACGTGCTGGCTTCCCCCGTATGTAGAGCCAGTCTGCAGTACAGGTGTCAGTAGTGAAAGAGTGACTTGTGAGGAAGTATGTACTGTACATGTTATTATGTCTCTGTGTGTTTAACTGTTCATACCAATAAAGGCTGCTTGGAAAAGGCTGTTGTTCTTGCTTCTCAATTTATTCTTTTAAAAAATTACGAGGTACAGGATAAGTGCATACTGTATACAAGAAATGGCATGTACATTGAATTTTGAGCTAAATTCATAATGACAATTAGTATATCAAAGTCAAGTGTAACATCATACAACTCTTTAAAGTTCTGATTCCATTTCATTCTAATATGTCAGTTTTGTTTGGAGTGGATCATATGTAAGCATGATGTTCCTTTAAATCATGTTTTACCAGTCAGTCACTTAACATTGTGGCTAGGGCTGGAGCTTAATATCTGCCACTGTGCATTATGATACTTATTGGCTTTTACAAAATGATCACTCGGAACTGGACACATCTATAGTGAAGGTCTTGATTTTACTACATTTTCAAATATTACATGTACATAATATATTCTGTTGCAGTATCCAATCATGCAGCTGCTTTCTGTGGTGTGGGCATGTCATCTGGAACAGAATAGAATTTGATACTAGTAAATGAGAAAAACAAAATGTACATGTAACGTTAACATGTTTCTATAATTTCATTATCAGCACAACAATTCTAAGAATTAATTTAGGTACTATTTTGGGGGAAAAAGAATTACAGGAACTTGGATTGTAAACAGCATATTTCCTACCTTTGAGTTGCTGGTCAGATGCAGCGGAGTGTCCACAAGTGAAGAACTCCTGTAGTGCAGGTAGACACACCTCTACTTCACTGGGGTTGTTCCGTATGCAGTAGTCATACATCTGGAACTGCTTGTGACATTCACGCTTTATTCTCTGAATGGACGGGCTGTGGAAAACCATTTAATATCATGAAAAACAAGTCTGAAAGAATGAGTGTTCTGAACATGGCTCCCAGGATGTGCTGGCTGGGTGATGCAGTGCAATAGTGTCACCTGGTGACTCATAGCAGTACTGCAGAAAAGCACTTGCTATCACTCATCAGATACAGACAGACTTTTGGGTACTTTTATTTCTAACATACTATTACATAAATACTTGTTCCTTTGAATTTCATGGGAAAGGGAAGATTCTTTAATTATTGATACACTAGTATTATAATTAGCCTCTTCAAAGGCAAACATCACTAGTAATTTTGTAGTTAATATGTGGATTCAAATGAAAATCTTTGCAGGAGCCTGAAAATCATTGACAGTCTGAAAAACATGTTTCCATAACTGGACCATACTGCTGTGTAAAGAGTTGTGCTGCTTACTGTGTGGATGAGCAGTTGGAAACCTTTTTCTTCAGCTCGGCACATTTGGTCGGCCAGCTCTGGGGGTTGTCCTGTACACAGCTGCCGTAGGCCTCCAGCTCACTGTGACAGAACTTAGCCACTAATTCCATCACAACATTCCTAAAATAAAGAAAATGACTCATTGACAGAAGTATGTTACGTAATTTATATTACACAAAATATATTATTAGCTAAGGACAGTTCACGTTACTTACATGTCTAGGACATAGATCTATCAAACCACTACTGTAGAACAAGAAAGAATGGTTTGCGCAAGTCCTTGGTTAACAACATCGTTTCTTTGGTTTTGCTGCTTGGCCATTTTCAGTCGTTGAAATATAAAAACATACATTACATGATCAATACATGACATAAATGAACACTATGTAACGTTATGCACTAACCAAAGCGAGCGAGGGTTTACTCACATTTTTCGATAGTTGAGGTAGCTAGATAGTCAAAGATAAGATGCTCTATAACTCCTATTCGTCACTAACACGGATGAAGATTCCTTAAGACCCTAAATATCCAGTACAAGTCCAAGGACACTTCTCAAGAAAAAATTCAACCTCCACGCGGATCTGGCGACCTCTGACCTCTAACAGCTGACCTCGTTTCTCAAACAAAAATGGCGGCGGTGCACCAGGAAAAAGTGGGTTTCTCTTTTGTTTTCCTCGAATTTCTCCATCTTTCCGACACGTAAAACGCTGTCTGGTAATTTCCATCACATAATAAGAACATACACTTGTAGTTAGAGGTATGAGATAGTGTGGTAGTTGTAAATACGGCGTGGAATGGGGCTTTGAGAAGAGTGTTTTGTGTGACAAATATGGGTGTGTAGGTGGTGACAGGTGACAAGTGTTGACATTGCTTTTGTCGTCAGTTTTTTATGGGCTTTTGATTTGTTGCCTGCTTGATTGAAACGAGCTAAATGAAAGAATGAAAAGTTGGTTAGAAAAATGCACGAATAACGTTCTTCATTTTTCCACATGTCTTAAAATTTCTTTTAATCCGGCACGACGAGAAAATAATATGCATTTGAATTCAATTTAGTTCACAGCTGTTCCAAATTATGTATGAATAAATTTAAAACCAATTTTCAAAATTCGTCTCAACTGAAATAAATATGGGTTGAATATCTCACGTAATGAAGTCTTAGATTTTGCATGGACTTATATATATGATGTGACGTCTTTTTGTTTGAACACCAGCTTTTACTAGGTATGGAGTTGGGCCAGGTCAAAATTTGACGGCATCAACTGACGTACCAGACAATCCCACCAACATCCTCATCCTGACTCTCCTACTAAAAATCACCACAATCATGACATGAAGCTGCTCCAACAACAGGACACCCAGATATGATGCAGCTGTCATGAAATCAGCCAGCTGCTTAGGTTGAAACAAAAAAATCCCCCGAGGGATTCAATCTTCGGCTGGATTTCAGGATGGCGTTTATAGAGGACCCTGCGTTTGTACTGTCGTACCTACGACAGGCTTTCATAACCAGCGACGACACGGGGATGTCGGAGATGGTCCTCGTAGACGAGGACATCGAACACTGGGACAGCATCAAGCAGGAGCGCGAAGGCACGCCCAAAACCAGGAGCACCAGCGAGAAACCGCAGAACCTGGAGTACGGAGACATTTCTCAGTCGTTTGACATCACGGCCTCCAGTCTGGACTGGGGGATTCGCAGACGGACCAACACGGCACAACGTCTGGAGAAGTTAAAGAAGGAAAGACAGAATCAAGTGAGATGTCGGAATGTACAATGGAAGGAGAAACCCGTAGATATGTCAGGTATGTACTGGGGGACTTAATTTTCTTCCTGCTGAGGGAGCTCTTCGGCACCTTATCTGTATTGGTAACAGAGCTAGCTAGGCGATAGAGGGCTGGTTAGGCCACACCAGTTTAATTTGTTGGTTCTCGGTTCTCATTTTTTTCTGATTTGCAAAAAAAAAAGATTCCGGTTCTGAATCAACTCAAATATGTCCATATTTTGCCCCCAACAGTTGAGGAAAGTCCTTAGGTTTCTTCGTAGTTGTAAAAGTTTTTCCATCTATCAATGCAGTGGTTTGATTAAAAGTTAAAAATTCATTGCTTAAATATTCATGACTTCATGGCTCCTATTATAGCATTTGGGGCTATAATAGGATGCCTAGACTTGTTTTTAGTTTTTTCACCCTGTGGCTTCATATATTTTCTGAAAAAATAGAGAACCAACAAATTAAATTAGTGGGGCCTTATCTGGTTGTTTCAAACAGAAACAGAGAAAGTACTAGAATACAATGTTAGAATCAAAACATATATTTTCCTCAAGGATATAATTTGTTTTAACATTTTTCTCATTTTATAGTGACTGAATATCTGCAATATTTTATGTTTTGTTGAGGTTCTCGTAAACAGTTCCATGTAAGTTACATTATATAAAGTGTTTGATATATATATATATAGCCTGTCTTAAGAGCACCCTTAGATTGCTGAATGTTGAGTAACCATCGGTTCTGTACTCCCTCTGCAGCAGAAGAGATGGCAGGAATGTTTGAGAAGAAGGACCTATCAGAGAAGAAGTCAGCTGCTGCCCCCCAGAAGACATCAGTCCTGGCAGAACAGTTAGAACAGAGTCCTGTCCTCACCAACAACCCATTTATCGAGTTCTCCAAGTTTGATGGCAAGGTAGGTGGAAAAGTCAGGAAGTGAAACACCATTGTTCAGAACTTCTCTATTGTTTGTTCCAATCCATGTGCCACTGATATTGTGTGTTAGGCCATGTTGATTTGATTATATGGATGACACCCTCTTGAAGCCCCAAAACTGATGCGAGCATGCGAATAAAAAAAAGTTAGACAAAAAAAGTTACTTTCATTATGAAACCTACATGGTCAAGAAGATAGAACAAATTACAAAGAGTATGATATGGCGAATAATCTACTCTTCAAATTCATTTCTTCACATGTTCGTCTTTTTCGTTTGATTTTGGCATTCTACGACATTGGTATCATTTTCCAATATTTTTGTTTTGCAAGTTACGGTATACTAGTACGTTTGTATATTTGCTCATTTTACAACTGTTGTACGATTTACAGTATGGTTGAAAACTTTTTTTTTTTCGAAACAGCCAAAAATTCATGTGTGCACAGATGTCATCCATATCATCAAATCAACATGGCCTTATGTCAGAGAAAAAAATGACTAGTTCTCTTATACCAAATTTTCCATGATTGCATATTCTTTGTACACTTGTGATCCAGGGTCATGTAGGGTCAACTGCCACCAAGAGAGTGGATATCTTCCTCACCATGACAACGGGAAAGGAGCGCAATTTCCCCCTCACCGTGGTCGTCCTGGCAACTGCCCGTGTGCAGGACCTGATTGGTCTGATCTGTTGGCAGTACACCAATGAGGCGAAGGAACCCAAACTTATGTATGTACACAAAGTTTTCTCAGAATGGATTGGTCTTTGGATGGATGGATGGATGGATGGATGGATGGATGGATGGATGGATGGATGGATGAATGGATGGATGGATGGATGGATGGATGGATGGATGGTAAAAGAAGGAAAGAATGAGTTCCTAGTGAATTCTTTCATCAGTGACAACTTTGGAAGGATAAGGATACTAACCTCCAAATTTTCGATGGCTATCAGTCCATCTTGTTCACGGAGTGGCCTAATCTCGCGAGAGCGCGAGACTAGGCCCGAGACTTGCATCGGTCTGTCGGGTCCCACCCCCCGCCGCCTCCCTCCGAAGTAGGGGTAAGTAGGTCTTGGGGAGATCAAGTGTGAAGAGTGCGGGGAGGTTTACGTTGGTGAAACTGAGCGGTCACTGGGGGAAAGGACTTCTGAACACCAAAAGTCATTACATCAGAAAGACTGCAAATCAGCGTTAAGTCAACACCAACTCCAGGCTGGTCACAACATCACTACCAGGCCCATCTCTGACATTATTGGAATCATAGACCAAGAGTCTCGTAACCCACATAGGAAGATTAAGGAAGCGGTGCACATACAGTTGGAAGGTGCCAAGCTAAACCGGACAGAAGGTTGGGAGCTCCCCAAGACCTACTTACCCCTACTTCGGAGGGAGGCGGCGGGGGGTGGGACCCGACAGACCGATACAAGTCTCGGGCCTAGTCTCGCGCTCTCGCGAGATTAGGCCACTCCGTGAACAAGATGGACTGATAGCCATCGAAAATTTGGAGGTTAGTATCCTTATCCTTCCAAAGTTGTCACTGATGAAAGAATTCACTAGGAACTGTATCTATACGTGACAAATGAATCTCTTCAAGGAAAGAATGAATAATTTTTCAACAGATTGTACAAATTTTTCTTTTAATTTTCCTTCTGACAGAGAGAATGTGGAGGCATATTGTCTCCACATAGCAGAAGATGATGGAGAAGTGGACACAGACTTCCCTGCACTTGATGCTAAGGAGCCTTTTGCCAAGTTTGGCTTCACCACACTGGCCCTGGTGGAGAAACCTAAGGACAAAGAACAGCAATCAGAGATCATGCTAGTCACTGTGTAAGTACTATATACTTACATGTACACATATTTATGTAACTACTAATGGTAAAGCAATAGAAAAGGTGAGCTAATGCTAAAATGTTTGTCATGGTTCTAATAATATTCCCATCTGAAATGGTCTCTTCAGTACTGGCATCAAGTTATTATTGTGAGCTCAGCATGATAGACAAATTGTACTTTGATTGTACATGTACATGCACATTGTCTATATTCAGTCACAATAACTTGTAATCCTTACATTCTGTGCTTCCCCTCCCCCCCAGGAATGTCCCCCACAGTGGTTTCTCCCGTATCCAGGTGGAGTCCCTGGGCCTGACGATGAAGGAGATCCTCCACAGGGCACTCAAACGGAGGAAGGGCAGGGTCGACCCTTCAGGTAATGTATATACACCTGATGATGTGGGTGTAGATGTAGAAGTAGTGTAAGGCCTACGAAAAAAAATGTTGTGTTTCCTGTTTCAGTCCTGAAAAAATTAGGGTCTGTAGGTAGGGATTATCTTTTTTTCTTAGACTTTGGTAATCTCTAGTGATCCAACTTACATGTATACAATACACTTTAACGAAGTAGAACTTGCATGAAGACACTTGTATTTTCAATGTCAATGGTTGAAAACTTATACAACATTTCATCACTCATCAGCTGTTAGATCATGGAGCTAGAAAAGATTGTTCAGCTCGAAAAATTTATGTCCCTTGCAGGGGTACACCCCAAAAAAGGGTAGGGTTGGCAGTTTTTTCTAGGGTCAGCTGGGAAACAGGAAACACAACAGTTTTTTTTTCTTAGGCCTAATGAAGATACTCCAGACAGCCATGAAACTACAACTGCAACTACTACATTAAAAATCAACCTTCGGTATGTTTCAATGGCATGTTTTCTTAACACACACTTGATGTAAATGGTTGTTGAGTTTGTTTGTATCGTCTGTCTCTGGTTTAGGTCCAGACTATGTCCTAGAGAAGCAGTCCCAGCCTGGAGTGTGTGTGGACTTAGACAGTACACTGGAGAGTATGAACACTATGGAGTTCTGTCTGGTCAGACAACACAGTAAGTACATTATAGTATAGTCTTCCTCACTTCCCACTAGCAATGAGGTCATCTAGTATAGTAGACTTGTAGCTAGCTCATATCATTTCCTGTATTTGTTTCAAAGGGACTTCATAGAATAAGCAAGTTCATTGTTCCAACTGTTCACTATCTTGTTGTCTTATTCCATCATTTTTTGCAACAATCAATACAAATTTTCTACTCTCATTGTGGAAAAATTAGTTCAAGCATTAATTTTTGTTTGTGAATTTCTAACAGCGACCTTCTCAAACTCAATTTTGCATGAAGGGACATACATTTACATGCAGAAAAATATTTCTTACCAATTACTTTTAGGAATGTAGTATGTCTTAGATTTAGATGCTCTTGTCTTTTTTCTATCTATGACCATCTTAAAGCATCACCTGATTGACTTGAGGATACTGTTGAAGTTTGCTTCTTGCATGTCTGTTGTAGTTTCTTCAAGGTCTTCTTTATAATCTCCATGCTTAGGAATCGTTTTATCTAGGACAATAAGGATGTCATCCCTAGGTAATAGATGAAGAGATCTGGTGGTGTATGTTACTGTTATGTGTTGAAAGCCTTCCCTGTATTTCCACCTGTACTCTCTAATGACTAGTATCTTCCCTTGGCATGTATGGCACCAGGAACCCACGGCAGGGCCAAGCGGAAGGCACATGGTAGTAGTACAACCTCGTACATGTAGCTCTGTATTCACGCATGGCATGGCATGGGCATGGCATTCAAACATAGTTACCAAACCTTCTTATCTTCCTTCATTGTTGTTTAAAAGAATTGCAGTTTTGACCTATCAGTATCATTCGTACCATTGTAAACTAAAGGTTTGCTTTAGTTTTTCAACTAGAAATGAAACGATATTACATGTATAATTTTGATAACTGAGAACAAGAGGGTTTGGGACCAGAATGTTTATGAAAATTAATCCTAATCCACAAGATATTGTATAAAGTCACTGCATGGCAAATAATACAGCACCATGCATGGCTACTGGTAATGTGTTCGTATTGTTGTAGTTCAAGTGTTGTATTTGCACAGTATGTGGAGAATAAGACACAACTTCATGTATCCTATTATGATGATATAGGAAGAGTTTTAAAAAAAGAATTAAAAAAAGTGCCAAAGGCTGCCAGTGTAACCCTATTCTAAGTCTAAAGTTTCGGAATCTTACAACAAAAATATTCGCAACACACAGCAAAATTTTATAAGCATACAGTTCTTGTTTCTGGTAGTGATGAATTTCAAGCCTTTGGTACTTTTTGGCAAGGTACATGTAAATGCCAACTTGATGGTAGACCTGAACTGAGAGAAGACTTATCTACATGTGTATCTACTAGACAGTATTTGATCACTTGATCTAAGGAAATAAGTGCATTAAAATCCATTCCTTTACTTCAAGTGGCCCTACAGAAATTTACAGACTTACCCAAGTGCAACCCAGTTCTTTACCCCTTTGAGTTTTACAATGAAATGTGCAGAACATAGATCTAGAGTCCACACCCTGTGCAGACATGTTGACTGTTCATCAGTTCTGACATGCTTGTTGAGAAGCTTCCGCATGCTGAACTCCTCACAAACATGCTAAGCATGCGCCTCAGGTGTTATTTCTCTGTAGTGTAGGTAGTCATACTGACCTGTGTCCTCTCTATCCTTCTTTGCCAACCGTTCAACTTGAAGTTCCTTGTGATGCCCATTGTTTTCAATGTTCATGTAAGTTTCTATTAAGATATCTTGGCCAGCGTGGTTCCGATATGTGATCGTCATTGGTATGGTATACTACTGATGTTGATTTCATGTGATTTTCCCTCTACCTACTTGATTCAAAATTGTCTCAAGCCCCCCTTTTATTATATAGTTTTCTCAAAAATATAGTCTCGCTTTGTTTCATCTAAACAAACAGGTTTAGAACACGTCTACTAACACTACTGCTCTTTTAATGTTTGTGCCTAACAATTTTGAGAAATGTATGATTGAAAATTCTATAGATATTGTACAAAAAGCATAAGATTGGCTTTTTTTCACGTTTGATAATGTATATGGTGAAATCACTGCCATTGATTGGATACTGTGTAGAAAATAACGAAGCTGAATTCATATGTCCGAAGAGGAAGAAAAGTGTTTATATCTGTTGTTCATTTGCAGGTACCCGTGGTGAGGTTGAAGAAGAGACAGAAGTGAACAGAAACATGTCTGAAATGGAGGCCTCCCTCAGCAGTCTTCACTACAAGTCTTACCGAGTCAACATGTTCACTAAACTTAGAACAAGCACTATCATTCAACTGGGTAGGTCTTTTATAGACAACATGTTCACTAAACTCAGAACAAGTACAATCATTCAACTGGGTAGGTCTTATATAGACAACATGTTCACTAAACTCAGAACAAGCACTATCATTCAACTGGTAGGTCTTATATAGTCGACATGTTCACCAAACTCAGAACAAGCACAATCATTCAACTGGGTAGGTCTTATATAGTCAACATGTTCACTAAACTCAGAACAAGCACAATCATTCAACTGGGTAGGTCTTATATAGTCAACATGTTCACTAAACTCAGAACAAGCACTATTATTCAACTGGGTAGGTCTTATATAGTCAACATGTTCACTAAACTCAGAACAAGCACAATCATTCAACTGGGTAGGTCTTATATAGTCAACATGTTCACTAAACTCAGAACAAGCACAATCATTCAACTGGGTAGGTCGGAATTTTTTTAATTCGCCCACGCGCTTTAGTTTGGAGGTCTTCAGAGGATGTCATTCATAAAATTAAATCAGTGTGGCCTAACATCAAAGAACATGAGGCTGGGTAGAACACTACAAGTCATTTTGAAACTTCTTCCCCCATTTCTAGGTGTATCCGGGGAGAAGATCGAGATAGACCCGCTAACCCAGCACAAGTCCACAGCAGCGAAGTTCCTGTCCAAACAGAAGCCTGTCTCCTACGACGCAGACCTGGTCGCAGCCTGTGAGGTCACTGATGACAAGCACGGTGAGAACCAATCAGAGGGACTGTTACTTAATTGAATTAACTTGGATGGATATGTTCATGAAAGTCTACATTTTGTGACAAGACAATACACCATGAGTATAGTTTTGCACCTTAAAAATGGAATCAATTTGCGTAATGAAATAGCTGATCTACTGCAGTGAATGGTAAGATATGTTGCAAGTTTGAAATCTACCACATTTCCTTTTCATGTGCATACGTGTGTTTACCACTGCCTACTGTGTAGCAGGGGCAATCATCATCTTGACTGACTTGAGGGAATATCGGTTACCCTTCCACGGGTTCCACCGTATCCCATAGTCAAACCTGTGGTCCCAGGGACCATATTCACTGTAGTATTGCCCATTCAAGTTGGACCTCTGACATCCCTTTGCATAAGAGTAGTACCACCAACCCCCCCTCTTGTCACTCCCACAGTCAGTGTCACTACTTTGGAACACCCTGTTGTGGTGAGTGAGGTCAGCGTGGATCTTGTTGACAAACCCGTCCCCCGCGGTTCCGTTGTAGTTCCCCACGCGCAGACGGTATGTCTGCGACTCGTCTTCGATCAAGAAGCGGTCGTATTCTGCGTAGGCCACCTCGTTGTCCCAATCCTCCATCTCAATCCTGAGCTTGTACCTACAAAAATGGCAGAATGTAAGCTTAGAAAGCACTTGACAACAGACTGCCCATGTCACCGATCTTGTGCCCTTAGGGAAGGCACTTAACACAACTTTCTCACTTAACTCAGGTGGAAATTAATACCTAGCTTAGGTTAGGGACGTCCCTCGGATAGAACAGTAAATGGAGGTCCCGTGTTTTGGGAGAGCCACACCCCATGCACGTTACAGAACCCACCGCACTTATCGAAAAGAGTAGGGGACCTTCTCGGTGTGAGTGGTTCAAACCTTACAGTCCGGTCTTACGCAACTTGTACAAAACTGGTGTGTTACACCTAACGGCAGTTTACCAGTTATGCGAAACAAACAAAGACTCTACAATATAAGATAATTTAATGACAGTCTCTTTCATGGTTAGAGTATCTCCTTTTGAGGAAAGTTCAAAGTTTTTCCATACCTGTCCTGATTTGTGAGGAGGTAGATCTTCTCATTGCCCAACCAGAACTCACGGTTCAGGTGGCCAAAGCCGTTCCGGTACTGAGACCAGTTTTGTTGAAAGTCAGTGAATCCGTCCTCCCTTCTTTGGATCACAGTCCAACCTTAAGAGAGAAGAGTATAATGTTGATAAAGGAAGACAACCTGTGCAGGTATTTCTGCTATAAAATGTATGTCTTAACTAGAAAGGTACAAATGTAACGATTGTAAAGCAAATGCACAATGTTTACCTTCGCATATGGTCTTTCTGTTAATTCGTACTCAAACACATGCATATACACATGTATATGGTCAAACAGGAGTCTAAATCCCTCCTGCTAAAAATTGCAACATGATGTAACCCAACACTAGTTACCATGGTGACAGACGTCTGGTTCAGGTCATTGACCTTATTGGTTTGGAGAAGAAGAAGAGGAAACAGAACAAAAACTGTTTCTTTTGGTAAACATAAATACATTCTGAAGACATGCATTAGTTATGACTGTTAATAGTGTAATCAGTCCTACCTGTGTTGTTCTGCATTATGCAGTACACAGGGAAAGGGTCAGGGGGAGCTGTTGGTTTGGGAACAATGCTTGACACATCAGGATGGATCATGTACACTCCACTCTGGGTGTAACCTTCCTGGTAGATGTTTGAACAGTCTGCAATAGATTACAGTAAAACAGCATGAAAAACCTGTAGATGTATTAAGTTTAATATTTAGATGCCAGGGATTCATTTTTGGCAATAGGTGCACTGATGCATCCAACCTAAAAAAACTGGGTGCACAAAAAGAATAGCAGAATGCTAGCAAAAACTAATTACATTTCATTTCTAAAGAAAAGTACTACTACAATGATTTTATTATTTTGTGAGTCCTAGATGCATTATAGCAAACTCATGGGAATTCAGAAAAATTTATAATTTTTTTGAAAACTGTTTATTTTTTTACCAAAAGATATGCAGAACTTGTACCTTTGGGATATTCGCCCAGGTCTTTGGTATTCATTATCCCACGTTTCAGAGTAGTTTCCGTCTTGGCCTTTTCTGCCACCAGCATGCCCAGAGTGTTGTTAAGAGACTGTACGTGCAGGGTGAGGGTCTTCAGGCTGGCAGTCAGTTCCTCTTGTTGTTCCTTTAGCAAAGCTACATCTGCAACAGTACCTTTGTAGTTCGACTTTTCAACCTGCAAGGTAAATAAATACACATAGGGTTTGGTACAGGGTCCATGTACTGTCTTCTGATAAGCAAGCAAGAAGTATATACAGGTGACCACTATAGACACAATTCTTAATGCTTACGTCAATGGGAAAAATTCAAGGGGCCAGCAAAAACTGACCGCTATGGCCAAGTGACCACAATACAAAGGTGACCGCTAGTACAGGTTCGACTGTACATTGTAGTTGAAGTAAATGCTAAGACACAAGCAGTTAACTTTTATAAAGTGTCTGCATATCACTACTAAAGGTAGTGTGCTAAACTCTTTTACTCACAAATGATTATCTGAGTGTAGATCTCTTGTGGCCTCATACCTTATTGTCCAGACCATCTGTCCACTTTTCCACCTGGTCTATCCTGTCCTCCATCCTGCTCACTGCACTGCCGACCTGGTATTTCCAGTCGTTCAGAGCGGCCACCTCCTTCTGGACCCTGTCCAGCTGCCCCTGCCCCAGGGGCTGGTCTGACGTGGGGACAGTGAAGGTGTAGGAGCACTGCCCAGGTTTGGCTGAGGGGGAAGTCACTTGATGCTGGTGGTCAGACTCCAAGGCATCCTGTCTAGCGCCTTCTTGTTCTATAATCATCCCGTCCCTCCCTACATGTGCGTTTGCTTGCACATGGAGACACAGCAAGAGAATGAGATAGATGCCAGCCATGGTTGTGGGTTGTTTGTCTGAAACTACCAGAGGGGGTTTGCTTTTTAGACTTTGGCCTGGCCATGTGTACAGGCCAGTTTGGTGTTTGATTTGCAGAGCTGAATAGCAAACGAAAACAAGCAAAAAATCCGCAAAATAAAACAACATTGTTCCCCGTGATGGCGTCACTGATGTCCATGTTCAACGTTCAAGGGGTTACTGACAGACAGCAGTATTCAGTACAGGTGGTCACTATAGACAAGATTCTTAATGTTTGTGTCGATGGGAAAATTATTTATGGGACCACCAAAAAGTGACACATTGGCCAGTTGAGGTCACTTGTATAGGTTTGACTGTACTGTAGGTAAACATGACAAGCCACAGTACTAAAGACGGAGCAAAGAATTCACTGTCTTTGCATCAACCCCTGCAGGTCGGGAAACATTCCGCCTGACGTATCAGAGCGGCAGCGACTTCAAGCACCACGACTTTGAAGCCTCCAGCTCTGTGGCCTCCGAAGTCGTCACCAAGATTAACCACATCCTGGAGCTGCGCGCCAGCCCAGTCCGCGCTGACTACCTCGCCTTCAAGGAGAGGAAAGCAAGTAAGAAGCACGGGCTGTTGTCATGAGGGAAGGGACTGTCATAGGAAGACTTTAGACACTTGCATTTTCTTACAAAAGATTGTCTTAATCAAAGCAAGAATAAACATCTTTTTTACAACATTTTGTACAATCTCTTAGCTGCAACGTTATGGCTTGTCTGTTTTAGATTCTGTGCTTTTGTTCCTGAACCTTTAGTCTGTTACTGGCTGGCACCAGAGTAAGTTAGCTTCGACTGTAAATCTGTATTTCATGTCTGCATTGAATGTTTCTGTGTCAGAACTTGTAGCTAATTGATGCATACAACATCAGTTTGTTCTTAACCTTCTCCTACTGCCAAACCTGGCAACCGATACAAATCTGGTGCCAAAAGGCTACCTTAACAGGTTGTAGGTTACATGCTTCTATTTGGGATACAAAAACAGGCTGTTGGCACAGCCAATCATTCGAGAGATTACTGCAGGAGACATTGAAAAGAAACTGTTGTATATACTGTACATGTATGTAGGTTTTTAAGTTGTGGGGCCAAAATTTCAGCCAATCTATACATGTTTTAGGAAATTCCATTAGTATACCTGAGTGCAGTATGTTGGTATCATTAGCTGCGCTTGCATTCAATTTGTAAGAATGGCCTCGAATGAATGAATGAACACCAGTCTGAGTTGTTCCAGAAAAAATTGGGAAAGAGAGAACAAGACAAGAGAAAAAAGAGAGGGGGATTATTTCGCCATGTTTTATATAATAGCAGAGTTAAATAAAATGACAATATGGTTTGGAGGACTGAAGCAGTGGTAATGATCTACATACTTTTTTTCTGAAACAGCCTCTGAAACTTTTTTAAGGTAGCCTGGTCAGAAGTCTTCAGATCTTTATTCTGGACAACTTAAGCTTTTCATGACAATACATGTATTTGTACTGTGGTTTTCATAAAAAAAAACTGCAATATAATGGTGTTGACAGCTATTCTGCATGGCGATTGGTGCATTTAGTCCTTTGCTATGGCATTCCTGAAAGTTACCTACAACTCCAACACATTTTTCATCAATGCACTTTGGAAACAATGACATAATCGCACCTATTGCAATATTACATGATATTACAATATGACTGACTGTCAAATACAATGTACATCTATGAAATACTCCATTATTTTTAGAAAGACATGTTCAGTTGGTTTGCAATATGTTTAATTATCACTGAAGTGTAGTTTGTATGGCCAGCTCAGGAACAATTGTTGTAATGAATTTAGACTTATTTATTGTAATTGTTGTTCAATTGTGAAAGTGTTGCCCTGTTCATAAGATGGTTTATGTGAGATTACAAAGAGAAGTTTATGTGTCACATATGTTGTCCCTTCTTTCACTTTTTCATTTCTTTCTTTAAAATGACAAACACAAAAGGATAATCTGCAGAAATGAAATGAAACTTCTGCAATATAATGCTAGTATTTTCCAAAACATCTAACAAGGAAACGTTGAAAACTAGCTTGGAGTATTTATTTACAATACAATACAATACAATACAAATCTTTTGTACCATTTCCTAAAGAATCTCCTGGAAGCATGTTAAAAAAAAGTAAAACATATAATCCACAACCACTTGAGTAAAATAGCACACTTAGTTTTGTTTATGGATTGAAAGTTTAGTGTCCTTTGAGAGTAAACTGTCAGTCCTAATAGTAAACTTGGGTACTTATAGTGAGTCCTGTCTATTACAAGCCCTTGCAACCAAATCTTACACTAATAACATATGAAGCACTTCCACTTCTAAAATAAGAACATGTCAACTTCATGACTTCTCAGTTTTGCCGACAATCTTGGAGATGAGGGTCATGGGTGAGTTGAAGTGTTCCATTCTCTTGAAGGTCTTCATACCTGTTGGGAAAGGTACAATTCCATCAAACGTTGAGCATTATCAGTTTTGCATATAAAAAATTTGTATGATAAATCCTATTATTAACTTGTCCTGCTGGCAATTTTTACACAATATTTTCAAATAATTTCATGTCTTAATCAAGTCACAGACCCTTGACTTTTTTGCCCTGCGGCGGCGTAGTTACTTCCGCATTCGTTGCGTTTCGCTGCAGTGTGATGCGTTGCACAAGAAACACCCCCAAATCGCACATACACAGGGCACTATATAGATGGTACTGTATGTGCAACCCATATATATATGGGCCCCGCAGGACAAATAAAGATAATGGGTCACAAATACACAGTTACCTGATGGTCACAAGTAAGTACTTGTTTTTTTCTTCCCTAGACATAAAGGACAACCTTAACATACAATTGTATAAATGTTTCCATACTCATACTGTAAGGTACTAACAACAGAGTTTAAAATGTGGCAAGAGAGGTCTTACCTAGTTCATTGGCCTGTGCAGAAATAAATGCCTCAGCAGTGCTTTCAAATGCTGACAATGTCTTTGTGGTGGAGGCAATCTTGTCAACCTACATATAAAGATATACAATCATAAGTATATTTAAGAAAGAAAATGGACTACAACAATGCATTTCACACCACAGAGGAACTCAAACATAGCAGTAAAATCTGCCATAAGAAAATCTGAAAAGAAGATGAGACTGAGAGTAAAACAAGATCAGCCTTACATAAACTTCGAGGTCCTCCCTGCACTTCTTGGTGTAGTCCAAAATGCCCTGCAGGTCCGGCTTGCCTCCTAGGAGGCGCTGTTGCTCTGCTGACAAGCTCTCCCACGGAGGGATGTCCGATGTGGTTTCTTTAGCTGATCTGTTACAGAAGTTTGAAAAGTTACCTCGATTGTTTGAACTTAGAACCGTCAAACTGTTTGAAAAAATTATGTGTGAAGCACTAAAGCTACTCTTGACTTTGACAAGTTCTTGCCACTAGTACACGGTACTTCTATATAAAATCAAGACTTACTTCTCTGCATTTTCTGCTGCAGCACTGTGCTCCTCACACAGACTGTCCCACTTGGAACTCTCTGCCTTCAACCTACATTGAAGAGATGCATTTAATATCTTGTCAAAGTTCATGTTAAACTTTCTTCTCGTTATTTGAAAAAGATCCCTCCATTGCAAAAAGAAAAAGATGGAATAAAATCATATAAAAATGTAACACTAACCTGTCAGTATATTCCTGGATATTGATGCCTGAAAAAAAGTTGCAGTGCTATTAGCATTAGACAAGATCCCAGATAGATAGTTAATTTTATAGTAGAACAAAATAATTTTTATGTAACGTTACATGCATATGACGATCACAGTTTAATACTCAGTCTATGGTTTGAAATCGAGGGGTATACTAGTAAATCAATGCTTCAGAGTCGCAGACAACTCTACCCAAAGTCAAAGTACGTGTGACAACATGAAGTAAAAACTTTGGCCCACCTCCACTGTTTGTTACTGTGTCATCAATAGTTTGTTGTTGTTGTTGTTCCTGTTGTTGTTCCAGGAGATGCATGGACTTTCTTCCACGGACGAAACTTGATCTCCTTTTTTCCTTCTTAACATCCTTCTCGGTCTTCTGCTTCTTTCTTTCAGACGATCTAGACCTGTCCAAAGAAAATTATGTCATTTTATAACTTATATTTCCATAGCCCCCCTCCCCACATTACATTTTAAAGAAAAACGGCCCCAAAGAAAGGCTGAGAGCAAACGTTTTGACTACACATCTGGAACTCCATAACTAACTTTAACGCCACTAACCTTGTAAGTACCCCAGAGTCCTCGGACTCGCTTCTTTCCGGAGTTTTGCTGCGGCGTCTCTTTCTCTCTGCACTTCTGTCAGCCATTTTGTTGAAATTCCCGCGCCTTTCCAGATCTCGCGAGATTTGCCGCGTGATAATCCACAAACCAAAATGGCGACGGGTCACTTCCGGGTCTGTGTTGGCATTTGTTTTGGTTTTATTTGCACCGTTTTTGTGGCATAAATGTAGTCTCTAAGCCTTATTTTGTAATGGCCACGATCACAGACAACTTCATGTTTAACTTGGAAATTCTATCGATGGTCACATATGCATGCATAAACTTTTTTTTTAGTCTTTTTAGGGGGGGGGGGGGCGTGTAACGTTTCCTGTTAGTGTAACAATTTATATTTGATAATTTGTAGCAAGGAGAACATTTGGTGACATAATTTTATCTCTTTTTTCTTTTCAGCCCGCAAGTTCACAGCATGATCTACGTTATAAGGAATGATATGAGACAGGCCCATTTTCATTTATCAATTACAATTATCATAGGTAACTTGAGACTTCCATCATAAATTAAAGTTTATTTGTGTCTACATATAAGAAAAACGCTTATAGGTATTCATCATGGTCAAGAAGACAGTGATGACACTTTGCCTCCTGTCTTTATTCTACATGGCCAGAAATGATCCTCAAAATGAAAGTGATGTAGATTCAGAGCAATGCTCAAACACACAAGAGGAGAGAGAACATTTGTACACTGGTCTGCAGAATTCTCCTCAAACTTGTTCCAAAACTCTCAGAAGAAAAGCCAGAGATCTTAAAAGTGAAGATCATCTGATAAAATCATTTGGAGATTGGAGCTTTGCCACAGATCAGGTTCTTCTGCAGACTTTCCCGATTGACCCAGAAAGGAGGAACTATGTGAGGCAGGTCAGAGATGCCATCTTCTCTGTGGTTGAACCAACACCGTTCCACACAAGGGTCAAACTTGTGGCAGCTTCAGATGAAGTTTTACAGGTTAGTAATGTTAGTAACTTTTTTTCCAGCATTATTTTCAATGACACGAAAGTCTGTTTTTGTACTATTGTATTAGAAAAATGCAATGTATTATGTATGTATGTCAGAATGATGTGTCAGGGGTTTCAATGAATGCTGGGTATTAGTCTGGTCCTGTCTTGTTTGTGCTCTTTAGACCAAAGCTATAACAGGCTGGACTCCAGGTATTGGTTGCTAAGTATTGGTTGCATCTAGTTCTGTGTGTGGATAGCACCAAGGACAGGCATGTTCACAGGTTGTGTGTGGATAGCATTCAGCACCAAGGACAGGCATATTCAATTGTGTAGATACATGTAGTTTCTATCAGTAATCCAGGACCTGAACCCAAATGTGGGTTTAGGTAGACAGCACTACTTGTTACATCTGTGAGTGACTGAATGACTGATTATCTTAATATATATTTTGATACCACATGCAGGGCATCCTAGACTTACACCCAGATGTAGTCCATGAAGAGATGTTCCAAGCGTTTGTGAGTGGGAACACCATCCTGTATGGCTCCACTCCCCTGTCCCATCGGTACGGTGGGCACCAGTTTGCCAGCTGGGCCGGTCAGCTAGGGGATGGACGGGCCGTGATGCTGGGGGAATATGTCAACAGGAACGGGGAACGATGGGAGCTCCAACTGAAGGGCTCAGGACTAACTCCATATTCAAGGTACAGTACTATGTGTGTTCATTTTTTTCTATAAACATTTACAAAATTAGAACGTTATATAAGGCCACCCTGATTTAATTTGTTGGTTCTCAGATTTTTTTCAGAAAAAAATGAAGCGACAGGGCAAAAATAAGCATAAATAAAAACAGACCTAGACATCCTATTATGGCCCAAAATGCTACAATAGGAGCCACAAAGTTAACGTACCAGGATGCTGGTTTAAAATTTAAACAATGAATTTTGAACTTCTAATGAAACCACTGTATTGATAGATGGAAAAACTGTAACAACTTGGAAGAAAAGGACTGTCTTCAAGTGTTCGGGGTAAAATATGAGCATTTTTTCTGTTGATTCTGACCAGAATCTTTTTTTTTTAGAAAAATGAAAAAAAATAAGCAGTTGAATCCATGAACCAACAAATTAAATTGGTGTGGCCTAATCTAAAGAATTGAGATGATTGTATTTTACCACTGAGATCACTGACTTTTTGTACATTACTAGATAACATGTATAGTCTTCTTTTGTAGTTATGATAATGGTCTTTGAAATTTGTTTGCAGGAGAGGAGATGGCAGAGCTGTGCTTCGGTCTTCAGTCAGGGAATTCCTGTGTAGTGAAGCCATGTACCATCTAGGCATCCCCACAAGCCGAGCGGCCACCCTCATCGTCAGTGATGACCCAGTCATAAGGGACCAGTTCTATAACGGCCAACCTAAGAAAGAAAGAGGTGCTGTTGTCCTACGACTAGCCAAATCCTGGTTCAGGATTGGCTCCTTAGAAATCCTTGCAGCCAATCAGGAGACACATCTCTTGAGACAGCTGGTGGACTTTGTCATCAAGCAGTATTTCACAGACATCTACGAAACGTTAGGTGAAGGAGACCGGTATCTAACGTTCTTTTCTGATGTTGTTTCACAGACTGCAGAGATGATAGCTCTGTGGCAGTCAGTGGGTTTTGCCCATGGCGTGTGCAATACAGACAACTTCAGCTTATTATCTATAACCATAGACTATGGGCCTTTTGGCTTCATGGATTCCTACAACCCAGAATTTGTCCCTAACACTTCAGATGACACAGGCATGTACAGCTATGAGAACCAGCCTGATGTTGGACTCTTCAACTTGGACAAGTTACGAGAGGCACTCACACCACTATTAACAGAGCAGCAAAGGTTTCAAATGACCAAGATTCTACAACTCTACCCAGACATCTACAAGACAAAGTACATGGAGATCTTAAGGAGGAAGATGGGGCTGCTTGGTGAAGAAGAGGATGATGGCATGATTGTGGCTGTACTTTTCAAGATGATGACTGATACAAAGGTTTGTCCTGGATGCTATTACCTTTGACATTTCATAACCCAGGGCTCAATTTTTTTTTTCCGTCAGCCCAGCTTCATAGTCGGCCCTTGGGGGAGAGTGCTCACAAGCTAGGGGACAAATTTGGGATTTTCAAGCCTTTAAAAATACAAGAGTGGTTGTTGGTGGTCTTTGGATGTTTTTATATTTTTACGATTTTTGTCAATTTGGTCCATCAAGGTTGACGGATTGATTTAAACATTTTTCTGTGACATGCCACAAAGTTTTAGCAATTGACAGCTATTAATGAATGCTATGATACTTATAATAACCATTCAAATTATGGTTTATGAGTTGGGAATTGCTTTCATTACTTTTTTGTGTGTTTTTAACAGGCTGACTTCACAATGACATTTCGTCAGTTGTCAGAGCTGTCCCTCCATCAGCTGGAGAATGCCACTGTTCCCTCCCACCTCTGGGCCATCAGGACTCTACAACCTCACGAATACTTCACAAGGTGGCTACAAGTGTACGCCCAGAGACTTAGACTTCAAAACAAGGATAGCGATGAGGAGAGGAAAGCCAGAATGGACTCTGTCAACCCTCAATACGTCCTCAGAAACTGGATGGCAGAGTCAGCTATAAGAAAAGCAGAGAAAGATAACTTTTCTGAAGTGAAGTTGTTACTTAGGGTTTTACAGAACCCTTTTGTGAAACAAGAGGAGGCAGAAGAACAGGGTTATGGAAGTCCACCTCCTGAGTGGGCTAAGGAACTCAGGGTCAGCTGTTCTTCTTAATTAAAAATCACTGCAAGATTTATAATAGCATTATGGATAAAATCATGGGTTTTCATAAATGGAGGGGCTGGGCTTGTTATAGAAGATATTAGATAATTTTTCAACATTAAACTTGAATATCAATGGTTCATGGCTTGGTCGTTAATATGATATTACTGCCAATAATTTTGTCATATTTAAATGTTAATAAACTTTCATGTAGCTCGTTACTCATGTAAGTTACACATCATTGAAATGTTTCTCATTTTCTGGGGATTTAGGGTAAGAAGAAAAATGGAGCTTCAACTGTGAAACTCATATCCACTAAACCTTTATGAAAGTTACTGTGTTACATCAAGGATGTCCTTGGTTTTATACCCTATTTCTCCAATATTTACTCTACCCTTCATCCTGTTTATAAGTTAGGAACGTGTGAAAAACAGTGAAAGTATAAGTCAACGCCGATGAAAACATGACCTGTCGGTCAGAGATAAATATAGCTCGTTTGCAGCCACATGAAACGTGAAACTAGTCAAAGTCACATGAGGGATGACCTCTAGTAACCCCAACGTCACAACCACAGTACGCATGCGCGACAGGAAATTTTATCCCGGAAGTGCCCCGACTGCGGGTGGAGTAACACCGAAACTAAATTTGACAGACTGACGAATGTTTGCCAAATTCTGCGGTCTGGCGGCTGTTCTTAGAACAGATGAAGAATTTCCCTAGCGGGTGAACGTAAACCGGAGGTTCTGGTGAACTTGTTTCGTTGTTTCGGGTGTATTTACACGGAAACAAGCGCGGAAATATTTTCAGTTGTACCGTTAGTGCCCCCCTCCCCCTTAGTGCAAGTTATTTTTGACAGCTGGCTTTCTCTTCAAGACGTCTGTCTGAGAAGGAGTCTGAAGCTTCCATGAACAACGCGGGTGACCGTAGGGACAGTCTTCCCAAGGAGGCGCCCATCACCGAGGTTTGCGTGGTGGAGAACAAGGAGAGATGTCCACAAGGCTATGTAGTGGTGAGTGATAGTATGATGTATAACAGTTAACTGTTACTAGTAATATTATAATTTTCCAAAGTCAAACATTCTAATGTCGAAGGTTGGCATGTTCATCTTGTGTTTAAGCATAACTGTGTTAACTGTAGTTATCAACAGCTGAAACTTTAAAGTATAACGTTATAAGAAATCCAGAGAAAGGATATTCATATACTAGTAAACATGTAAAATGGACTACAAGAGTAGTTATAGCCATAGTTATATAGTTAACGAGTTAATGTTATACAGCTAGAGTAGTTAGTGGCCCTCTGAAGTTTGTAGACAGGACAAGTGCATGTTTTACATACCTTGCATTGAAGTTGTACAAAACTGACCATTTTTTGGTCATCTGCAAAACAATACCTATTCCTGAATGTGGTATTACAATTGTATCAAAAAACTAGTGGATAAAGTCAATGCAGTCAAAACATATTTGGGCTAGACTTTGAGAACTTACAATTTCTCTGTGAAACTCTGATACAAGTACAAGTGTGCATGTAATGACTGTGATAGCTCACATATCACACTTCCTTGCTTCCCAGCTCAGTGAGACAGAAGATGGGAAAGATGGCGACCTCTGGACAGACAAGTTTTTCGGCAAAAAGGTTACACGATACATCTGCTTCAACAGAGCGTATGCTAATGTGAGTTCCTCTGAACTTCAAATCTTTTTAGCAGACACTTTCCTATAGATTATACAATCGTGTAGTTAGCAGTTAGCAGACATACTGACAAGCAAACTTTACCAACACATCAACTGTCATTTTACCAGTACTTTACAGTTTACTTACCAACTCATCTCCCATAGCCTCTACCAGGCTTTTATGTCCCTTGTGCTCTCGGATAGAGTTTTACAGCTAAAAAATTCTACTAATAACTGAGCTTTAGAAACATATGGAAAGGTTGTTATATCAAGGAGGTTATATCGACTTAATGTCTTCCTCTCTGTGTCAGGGAGGTGGCAATGTCCTTGCAGATGTGGCCATCCTGGGGGAGAGGGACATCGTTCCAACAGGCTACTCACAGATCAATGCAACAGCAGACACAGGTGAGGTTACAGACTGTCATAGTGGGATAGGGAAAGTCATCAATGCCCCACAGTGTAAGGACTTCAGTCCTCTCCAGTACATAGTACATGTACAATGTATGCAAGTAGAGCAAGGAGTAACAGCCAGGATTCATACACTGACAGAGTTGATCCTACACCAGTGTTCTTGCCAGGCCTTTTTAGCATAGGGACCCCCTGTGCTGTGATTTGGACCCCCCTATGCTGTCTTTCAACCAGCATGTTTTTTTGGGGAGAACCTTCATACTTCTTACAAAAAAATGAAAGATAAGTTTATAAGGAAGCTATAGCAAAGGGAAAACCTTAACTTCACAAAACCTGTCCCTCAATAAGCAAGAAATGGTGTCTCAGGGGGTTATGAGTTTCAAAATTTTTCAGGAAGAATACCAGAAACCTCTTCTGTGGTCATGTTTTTGGGACTCAATGCTCGACTTGTGCAGCAAAAGTTGCCCTTCTGTACCTGACCCCTATGCAGTGTAAAGATCCTGGTGGGAACCCTGTATACAAACTACAACAGTGAAATTATGGAGGCCATATACTGGTGGGAAACAGTAACACCATATACAATACAGTACATGTATCACACTGCTGACTATGTTTTCTTTTCCAGGAGAAATAGCACTGAAGAAAAGAATTCTGTGTATAAAGATGCTTCCAAGGAACATGACAGACTCGGCTATTTGTGACATTAAGTTGTTGGCAAAGACCAAGAGGCCACCGCCTGGGTTCACATTTGTGGGGTGAGTATTGTCTTCAGGGTGTAGACTTATGTGAAGATATACATACTAGTATACCCTGTAGCCAAATCAGAATTTTCTCTTATTGATAAAATACAGGACTTCTATTATATATGAAATGACAGGCGTCATTAGGTGACATAGTAAATGATATATGTACATATATTTCTACTAGAAGAGACTTTCATCCATGAATAGTTTCATCAGGTTGGTAAGACATTGAGTAAAGAGACTCTTTTTACACAACCAAGTCTTTTGTTTTGTTCGAGTAGAAGCAAAGAGTGTATTTGGTGCTGTCAGTGCTGATACATGTATTTTAGGGGGAAAGTTATGGTTCCTTTTATCTTTCATGATTCTAGTATGATGATCGATTCTGACTTGAAAACTGTTTTCTAGATTTCCTCTAATAGCATTTACTAACTCACGTCTTCTTCCCTTGCTATCTCACCTATACTTCCAGGGTTGTAAATCACATCTCCGTCTTTTGCCTGGAAAGACTATTTTTCAAGCCCCTCCCCCTTACCCCCTCTCGCCCTGCCCCTCCCCCTCCAATCCATCAAAATGGATCGGCCCTGCCTCGGCTGCCTCACTCTAGTAGTTCTTCTAGTCTGTCCAGCATGGCAAACTTACATTCCTCAGTGGATCTGTGTGATAGGTGGGTATAGCTTACCCCACCAACCTTCTCTTGGCTTGTAACTGCTTCTTGTACAAATGTGCTAGAGTCCTGATCAGAGGGAGTATGAAACTGTTTTTAAGCTTCAGCCTGCTGCTGGTATTGCCCACTGCTTCATCTATCTGTAGTGTAACAATTTCCATCGGCAAATGTTTGTAAAGATATTTGATTGAATTAAGACCCTAGAACTACTTCTGTCTCATTGATATGTGATGTACTAGTATATGCTGTAATTCGCCCTGTATTATGTGTAACATGGCAGCAATTTATTAGCCATCAGCACACTAAGGGCTTAAACTTATCATTGGCAAAATTTAGTCAGCATCATACAAACTCAGTTATGTTTGTCAAAATATCAATGTTCATGTTGCTGAAGCTGTGCTTTTACAGACATTTTATCTCCTTTTTCAAATACTCGTCTAGAAATGTCCATTCCTACCATAACTTTCACCTTGCTACTTACCATTCTGTCCTTTCTGCTTCTCACAATCTATCACATCATCAGTAATGACCTTTCACCTTGCAAATATGACTTTTGACCTGGCTGCCAACCTCTTCATGACCTGTCCAGTGTACTGATCTGTCTATCCCCTAGTTTTACTTCTTTCCAGACTACCAAGGCACTAGTGTTGGCATCCTCTTCAGTTCTGAGTCTTTCCTATGTTGTGTTATCCTGACCTTTTTACCTGATTTGCTCCACTGCATACTGTACACACATATGACTTGGTATCTGTACATACATGTAGAACTGTATGTTTTTAGCTCCAGTTTCTTTATGACCTCAATATGCCCAACGGAAACACCAGGCTGCTGATGAAAATATCAGAAAGCTGCCGTGCCTTTGTTTTTACTTTAAACTTTTTGCCATCTTTCCCCAACAGGGAAGTGAACAGTATCTCAGTGTCCTATAAGATGGGCCCTGTACAGAGAACATCAGGTCCAGTCCGGCCCGCCCCAGGTCCTCCCCAGATGACCAGACAGTCATCCCAGCCCCTCTCACAGCAGCCAGTTCCTGCTAGTCCATCTTACACTTCTGATGTACAAAGGTGAGACCTTGGAGTTGAACTTCTTGGTTAAACTTTGATTTTTTCTGCTTTGTTGGTCAAGGATCTCCGATAGCCATTTTGTGTTCTTTTGGTAATGGTGTTAAGGTTTCAAACAAGCATCTACTAGTTGCTTTACACTGTATTATTCTTTTCATGATCAGTTTCTGACGGTGCTTCTTGAGTTCTCTTTTCTGCTCTATATTAACAGTTCATCTTTTCCTACCATTGAAAATACAGCACTAGAAAGGTGTACTAAATGTTACAAAAACGGGCAAAAAACACAGAAAATGAGTCGGATCCTTACATCTGCTTGGAGATTAGTATTAGGTTGATATTAGAATGAATGCAGTCCACATATCTTTCACACAGTTTGTGTTCAGGAGCACTTTGGGTGTATGTTTTAGATATAGAGGTGGCTTAGATGTAGAGGTGTGGTTGTAAGGTTGGTGTATGTTCTAACCCTGTGGTGGCGGTTGTCTGTTTGTTCCCATGATGTAGACAATACCATACCCTTCCCGCTGACATCCACAGACAGAGGGCAGACGTCATCCCCCTCACCAGACAGATGTCCACAGTCAAAATAGCAACAGGTAAACATTTCCCTTCATCACATACATGTGTGTGATAAAAGAAATTATACAGTTCTTAGTGGCAAATATGCAATACGGTTCTTGGTGTCAACTCTTGGCACATTGGTGAAACAAAATCCGTCTGTGCCCTCATCAGTGTTTGGAAAAGTATCAATGATTAGCAAAAAGGCCCAATAGGTGTCACTCCACTGTACAGTGAGGAAAGTGCCTTTCCCAAGGGCACAACATTGGGCATGTCAGGGGATCGAAACATTATGATTTGTTTGTTAGTGTATATTTTATTCACAGCATCATCATCATTACTTGACATGTTTCTTGACTTTTGTATTCACAGCTGTAGATGGTATCCCATTTGAACTGAACAAAAAGCTAGGGGCAGACAGTATCAAAGATGTAAGTATGATCACAAATCTGTAGTGATTCTGTGTTTTACAAGCTTCTTTCCCATCAACAATATGTAAAATTGATCGAGTTTTGTAATACATTTTGGCACATGATCATCAGAACTTCTTTTTCTTGTTGTTCACAGTTCTCCTTACCAGAAATGCAATATCAAACAGAGCAAGAGATTGAAAATAAGGTATGACTTTTTATGAATTTCATAACATTTTGGACATTGATAATGTAATGTAGTTGCTGTATTGTCTTTTAAAGAGAGTGTGTTGTATGCATTATTGGTTTCTGTGCATGTACTTTAAGTATGTGTGCCGAATCTTACTGATACATGATTCTAACTTGAACCTTTTATTTTCTGTTTCAGTACAAGTATGACTTCACAGCAGAAAGGACAGCAGCAGCCAGAATTCCTCCAAACATATAAAAAAAAAAACTGCCTCAAATGGACATTTATAATAACAAATCTTTGCATGTGTGTGCTGATATGATGTTTTTTGTTTTCATCTACTGTATTGTTGTTCTGGTCAGTGAAGTATAATTATAATTGCTCAGGAAGAAATCAGAGTAAAAGTCATGGGGTGTCAATATTTTCTTCTGGACTGCTATTGTGTTCCTTTCAGAAATATGCATAATTATGATATTTCTTTTGTCAAGACTTTCTTCTGAGTAGCCAGAGGCCTTTGTCCACGTAATCGTTGATGACTGAATTTCTACTCTTTTCCTTGTCACTTGGGCATCTAACATAGAGTGGACAACAAAAGTCAGCCATAGCTTTAACTAATTATGATATTTACATAACATGTATGTGTTACTGAAGTCTGCAGAGTTATAGGTTATTCAGTTACTTGTACATCACAGTGTTGCTTGACGTACATTCTGTTAGTTATTGGTAATTTATCAGAAAAGTTTAGGTTCTTTAACACCACTGTCTAAATTGTTATTTGGGGATGCTGTTAGAAACTAGATGCAATATTTTTATAGATAAAATGTCTGCTCCAGCTTTTCTTGATTGGACAGAGTTTGGGCCTCAGTCAAACAACATGCTTAGGGAAGGTTGTGAGTGTATACTGTAAATTTAAAAATGTTTGCAGTGATTTATTAATTGTCATGGTTTTTGTTGTGACACCAAAATCATGATATTGTGAGTATGCATTTCCATTGTACTACTACTGTACAGCAGAATTGTTCCAACTACAAACTGAAAACACGACAAAAAAACTTCCTCCCAAAATAAATGAATTTACAGTAGGTTGTCCCTTCTAACTTAAGCTCCTTGCCATTATGAATTTTGTTGATGGAACTGATTTAGCTTGTACAGAGGTGTGGAAATACATGTTTTGATGCAGGAAATTCCCAATGAAATGTATTCTTCATATTGTTTAATCCTCCTCATCTATGTAAGATGTTTTCCTTTAATGTGTGTTGTAGAGTTAAATAAGTTACGACTATTAAAAATGCCATATGTTTGTTTTAAAGCACTGGCAATAGCTGGGATATTCTCAGGCCCTTTACATTGTAATTTGAAAAGCAGAATCACTTAAAAATTGATTCCTCGTTTTGATATGTAACATCTTCCAAACTGAGAACTTCTTGTCACAAAGACATAACATCAAATATTTTAATCTCCAAGCAGATCTTTCGGTGGCAAGACAGTATCCATTGGCCAGAGGAGTGTCGGTGGCTAATGGACACTCCTCTGGCCAATGGATACTGTCTTGCCACCGAAAGATCTGCTTGGAGATTACCTGCACATGACAGCTTGATAAATGCAAAGTGCCACCACAAATCATTCTGCTGATAAAAACAAAGTTTGACTCATAATATCTCTATTGAAATACACCAAAAGATTACAAAATAACAAGCTATTTCATGGAGGGATGATGTCTACGACTTCTCCTTGTTTTCTTTGCACCTGCGAGAGTCAGGAAACGTATACGTACGTTTTTAATTTTGCATTATTAAAAATACAAATTCATAGACTATTGAATGAATCGGACGGGCAAAAAAAATAATAATTGTCAAAACAAAATTAGTTCAAAATTATGCGCAAGCCTTCTGAACTTAACTTCGGTGCAACATGTGGATACAGGTTCGGAGGCAAGATATTTCTACCACCGAGTAAAGCAGCTAAAACTGTACCAATCATGTGGGTTGTTGACCAAACAATTTAATAGATTACACTTTAATAGTTTCCACAATCTCAACGTGACATGGTGATCCCCAACTAAACTTAGAAATGTTGCAAGGCCTAGGGGTAAACTGAACTTATTATCCTACATATAAACATCATTGCATGATAATATCGATCGTACCGGTATAATTTCATCTATACAACAGCCTAGTATCGGCGAGATTTTATTTGAATTCCGAATTTGCGATTGACACTTTTTGTGAAAGATGCTAGGGGATATGACCTCCAGCACTAAGACAATCAGTGTCTGTGTCATACTTTGTCCCAGGACATATTCAAGGCCACTGGATTAGAAAGCCGCAAGATGTTGAAATTTAAATCCTTGTCACGAACTCTCGGTCGCTCCCCGACACGTCTGCACTGATAGGTGCTGACACCGGGCGTACACCGTGCCACCATGTCAAGCACCATCGCCCGTGCGAAATTGGGTCTGCGATGAGTCCACGCCAGACAAGTCCTTAAACCTTGGGCCGGGCAGCGTGAAATTGAAGTCTCAATTTCATCTTTGATGAAAGTACGCGTTTACTTTGTGAAGTAATTAATTTGTGGACGAAAGTGGCTTGATGGCGCACCATATTGTCGGCACGGTCCATTCTCCTTATAGAATGGTATTGATCGGAGGCTGCGGAGGAAGGCAATGACCATTGACAGCATTTGTTACACGAAGTTTCGCCGGCAATGAAGAGGCTGTGCGCGCGCTCGGGACGGATTACTACTGACTCCGGTTTCCGGAATCCGGACATCACGACTCCGGTGGACGGACTGAGAATAGCAGATTTCACGGAGCACTGAGTCTACTTGCTGCTTCAAAACCACAGAAACATAATAACAAGGCGGTGTCCACTAAATTAGCTCTTTGAAGACCAGACCGATTTCATATCTGCTTGATAAACTGCCATCAAAGTGATGGATACTGCTATCTCCTTGTGTACTTAGAGAGAAAACAAAAGGGTCATCTCTTCCAATAGACGGACTGCGAACAAAAGACATCAGCGCCACCGCAATTGAGGTCCACTCGGCTGGCTCCGGTCAGCAGGCGATTTATTTTCTGGCCCAAAAAATCGATATCCCCGAAATTGTAATCATGAGCAAGTGTATTGATATGGGGAAATTCCATTAAACGAAACATTAGAGTATTAGGCGTGGTAATGTCTCTGATAGGGTAGAGCAAGTGCAAGGCAAGTCATC